AAAACAACTCATTTAAAAACAGAAAAATTCACACAAAATAATGAGTGCCATTTTTGGAAGAAGAAAAAGGTTACGAAAATATGCTTAGAGCTAATGGACGCGAAGAAAAAAATTCCTTAGAGCTAATATCATAAACTTAAAATCAGTGGGAAAATTGCCGCTCATTAAAGTAACTTTATTAAAAATTAATGAAGATATTAATGCAAAAATAGTGATAATATTATTCCATCATATATAATTAAAGAAATGAATAACTTAAAGAAAAATTGGAGAAGTTATTGTCGTTGAAAGTGAAAAAAAAAAATATTGTAAAAAAATAATAATAATAATAAACATAGTTATCGAAAGTCGATAGCAATTAGAGGTCGAAAATTGATAAAGGATGCTTAAGAAAAACATTTTAAAACTATAGAGCTGTTTTTTTTTTTCTTTTTAAAAATTCAGTGCAAATATTTTCAATCTTCCCTTGCTTAGTCCGTGTAAGGTATGCCCGTCTTAGGGGAGGGGTCACGGAAGGCCAAATAGAAGGCTCCAGACGAAGAAAGGAGCCCTGACCATAAAAAATACCCCCTGATCATTCACAAAGGGGTTGGGGATTGGTCTAACATTGAGAAGAAGAAAAAAAAGCAGATCTGCATTATTTCATTTTCAGAACGGTGATATTCGGTACGTTAAAAAGAGATAAAACCATTTTTCAATCCATTCGAACTATTGTAACCCAAAACCTTCGACACATAAACCAAATCCAAGGTAGATCTAGTGTATAAGGCAGACATTCAATAATTATAGATACTTCATTGTTGAGTTCGATACATATAAATTTTTTTTAAATCAATTGATACATCTGCTCAAATGCAATATTTTTAAAAACAATTTCCTCAAAAAATGTAAAAATTTACATTGAAACTTCATATAAATTATCAAAAGCAGAGAGAACATGAATTCAAATTATGAAAAGAAGAAATGCGTATACTTTATAGAATATACGTATATCTCAAGAAATATACGTTGGAACGATTCAATTCAATTTCGTTCAAAAATGGGAGATCGAAAATATTTTTTTAGAAAATGTCCGTTTAATATTTATCATATTTATTTTAAGTAATTGAATTTTAAAAATTTATTAAACGGAACTTATGCAATATATCATTCGCATGTCAAAATAGGTAACTTAGTTTTGATATAGTTTTAGAAAAAATTTTATCCACAGATTTTTTTTCGCACTTTAAAAATGTTAAATTTGTTTATATTATCTAAGCCCATAATTAATTTGAATAATTTTGACTAATGATTAAATTTTAAAAAAAGTTTCCCTTTGATAAATTAAAAATCGTAATAAGAAACAACACGATGTTGTAACAAATCGTAATCTAGTGGCGCTGAGGCGTTGTTCACATCGCTGGTGAAAAGCTAGAAGTCGTGAGTTTGAACCTGCCAGCAGACTAAACAACCGGCGTGTGTACGCAACAAGGTGCGCATTAAATCAGCCATAACTGAGAGTGAGTCCACTCACAGGTACCAGATCAGGCGTTGCCCACGTCGTCTGTTTGGGGTAAAAATTACGAGTGATTCTTAACATGGCAAAAGTTAGAGCTCCAAAAAACGTTGCCTGGTTATGGTCAGGATGTACGACATAACAAATCAATAACTTAATGCGTATTATTTATTGAAAGTAAAAAATAATTTATTAAATATTTACAAGAGTTATTAAATTTTATATTCACAAAACGTATGTCATACTTCTGAAATTTATGTTTAAAGAAAAATCCTACAATATCTGTAAAAATGTATTTAGCGCATTTACCTCTATATTATATAGTCGTTAAGTTTACCATGGAAATGACAGTTGATTTATTTGTGTCTATTATAGACATATGACTAAAATATCATTTTAGTTGCGTCTGATTGTTTGTTAAAAAATTGTTTAAAAGATATATATAACAACGAAAGCAAAATGTCAGCTTTGAATATTTATGCATGTTGCTATCCGTTTATGTTTTCCATTTCATAGCAAATAGAAATTTATTTATAATAAAAATGTATAAAAAAAAAACGTTTTAAAAATTAAGAAGAAACATTTTATTAAACAATTTGTAGGTGATAAACACACATCGCATTCTAATTAAAATTAAAAAGAAAAAAAAAAGGCAAATCTAAAATCCTATTCCTAAAAAAGTTGCCTAGAAACATGACTACAAAAATAAACAATCTTAGAAATACAGTTAAACCAAGCGTTTTTCAGATTGTTTAAATTAGTAGACCGCGTAAATACGAAGAAAAAAATAAAAATTTCTTAACGATGAAAAAATAAAATATTTCAAAAACAAATTATTATCAATCTAGTTTCATTTCTTTTTGTATATTTTTATTTTTACTTATCTCCAAATACCTCATTACTTATCTCATTGTTTTTGTTCTTTTCAAATAAAATGTAATTCTCATCAAAACTAACAACTAACAAAAATATAAGAAAATAATATACAACGCATTCCCAGGTAAACATTAACGTATTCATTTATTAACTGCGTTTTTATGTGCACTTTATGAATTTTATCAAAGCATTCTTTGTTGATTGCGTACTCCTTTCGGCTTAGTATCAAAAATAATCAAATCGCACTTTTCCCTAAGTTCACGTAAAAAAAAAGGAAAACAAAAAAAAAATTTTTTTAAATTTCTCTTATTTAATATTTTTTTTTTCTATTTATAAGCAATTTTTCCCCGATTAAAAAAAAAAAACGTAATATCTTACAAAAACAATGCTCCTCTCAAATGCGCTATTAAAACAAACAGTTCTTAAAATATCAATGCCAATGTTGATTGCGTACTCCTTTCGGCTTAGTATCAAAAATAATCAAATCGCACTTTTTCCTAAGTTTACGTAAAAAAAAAAAGAAAAAAAAAATTATTTTTTTTAAATTTCTCTTATTTAATATTTTCTTTTTCTCTTTATAAGCAATTTTTCCCCGATTAAAAAAAAAAAAACGTAATATCTTATAAAAACAATGCTCCTCTCAAATGCGCTACTAAAACAAACAGTTCTTAAAATATCAATGCCAATGTTGATTGCGTACTCCTTTCGGCTTAGTATCAAAAATAATCAAATCGCACTTTTCCCTAAGTTTACGTAAAAAAAAAAGAAAGAAAAAAAAATTTTTTAAATTTCTCTTATTTAATATTTTCTTTTTCTATTTATAAGCAATTTTTCCCCGATTAAAAAAAAAACGTAATATCTTACAAAAACAATGCTCCTCTCAAATGCGCTACTAAAACAAACAGTTCTTAAAATATCAATGCCAATTTTTAAGGGTATGGAATCGTTTGCAGTTTTAATAAAATAGAGTTTAAAAGTACTTGCTAAGTTCTTTTAATGTTTTTTCTTAGTTCTTACTTTTTGTACAAATTTCCGAAGGTTTATTTCTTTAAACTACCTATGTATACACTAAAAGCTAAATAATTTGCATTTCCTAAATTTTAAGACATTTACGCAAATTTCTTAGACTTATTTTCGTTAAAATTGGATTCACAAATATACGATATGCTTAAGTTTCGATTCCACGCTTCATAGAAAACTACGATTTTAACTTAAAAACTATTAACGCTTGCTTAAATAGTATTTTTGGAAATGTAAACCAATTTCAATACATTTTTTTAACTTATGTGAAATTCAGAAGTATTCAATTTAAACACTCTTTGTACAAATCGGAAAATATTGCAAGGAGAGTCTACAAGATTATACATCAACAAAACGAGCCTTTGGGTTTGAAAATCTTATCTTAATCACATGTAAGTTACTTTATGTTAACATTAATTATCTGTTAATAGTTCGTACATCGATATATGCTTGATTGATATGCGCTATTTCTTTCGTTTCCTTTCTATCAACAAGTGGAAAATCGTTAAAATACTCTTGTTCGTTTTGTTTAAAATCAATGACAGCAGGTAAGGAATTTTACAATAAATAATATTTTGATATAATATAAAACACTTTATTTTAAAAATGCAGATTTGTTACTAGTATAAAACGATATTTTACTGTGATAAAGCGATATTTTAAGAAGATAAAACGATATTTTAATAGAATAAAGCAATATTTTACTAAGATAAAACAATATTTTACTAAGATCGATATTTTACTAATATGAAACGATATTTTACTAAGATAAAAACGATATTTTAGTGTGATAAAGATATATTTTGCTAAGACAAAAGGGTATTTTTGCAATGATAAAAGACTATTTTTTTAATGCATTCATATAGTAATATGTTTCTAACATATTTATATTTGCAATCGACGTTTAAACTTTAAGCTTATTGTTACAAACAATCTTAAGTTGAATATTTTATATTTTTGTGATGCTAAATTACATAATCTAATGTTACGTTAGTTTGTTAGTTACGTTAGTCGTGACTGCTATTTTTAATAATTGTGAAACGATGTTATGATAATTATAATGCAGGACAATTTTAAATTTAATGTTTTTAATATTGTACTTTGTCAACATGACGTTATTTTTAAGTCCTACATTCATGTTTGATATTCAAACTATAATCCTTGTTTTATGTCAAAACGCCTATTACGTTCAATTTTGTTTACGTTCATGACGTTAAAACTAAATAAATATTCTAATTTTATTTAATACTTTTCTATTATTAACCACTTTATCTGTGTGATAAAATGAGATACTTTAGACTGTTTTGATCACTTTAGATAGAGCGATTTGTAATTAATGAAAGTTTTCTATGAAAATAAATTATAGTTTCATTGCGCTCAGGTTATAGTAAGTTGACGAAACGTTATTTTCACGTTTCAAATATGACGTTTCGTGTTCACATTGTTTTCTATGCGCTGTTAACAGTTTCATAAAATTTGAAACTTTTCCTTTTTATCATAAACTATTATCCTAAAACGTTTTAACAGTTGTAACTACTTTATACAGAAACTTGCAAGGCACAGTGATCAAAAGAAATAATAGATTTTTCAATCAAATGATTTAACTCACCTTTTCTAATGATCCTATCATGATATGGATTAACAGCTATCGCTGCCAACGGCAGTATGGTAAACAACACCACCAATGGAAAGATTAGGCTCCTTTTTTGATAAATTTTCATATTGTTGTGCCAATCCATTGTTAGATGATATTTAAGAACAGCAAAATCCAAAAGACGTAAAACGAATGTGCACTGTACAAATTATCTGAGCAAATTCAGGTGGGATATATATATTCTTCGATTTATATATATATATGTATATTTTTACACTATCACTACAGAATATTTATGTAAAAAAAATGTTGAGCAGAATAGATTAAATCTTGATTTCACAAACACAACGTCGTGATGGTTTAGCTCTTTGAAATGGAACAAACACTTTTTATACTGAGAATCCAGACGATATTTTTATGTTCCGCAACAGAGTCGGATCATTTTGACACAAATAAAAAGAAATCGTTTTCTACTCGGGAGATTTTCAGTCGGAATAACACTGGGTTCTGTTCAGCGGCGTGAGTTCCCTTTTGCGCTGCTACGATTCGAGCTTCAATGCCGACTGAATCCAGCTTCACAGGGGATCGTCGACCGTATGAAACCCTTGTCGGCCGCCGCAAACGAAGATGTGAATTTTTCGAAAGGGACGCCGCCGTGGTTTGGTGCGCAGTAGGTTATGCGCTGTGGGCTTCTGGTGAGACTCACCAAGTCCACTATTCTTTGGGATTAGTCGTTCGAGAGGCGAAAAACGGATCGCTCCTGTGAGAAGTATCTCGTTCGATTTCGAACTGTTATAGAATGTTTATGAAACTGGGCGAAGGGCGTTGATCCTCTCTCTTCGAACATGGTTATTATTCTTCACATCTTCTTCTTCCTTAGAAAGAGAAGGAAAAAAAAATTTTGAGAATAAACACAACATGGAGTGAGTCATGATTGGAACAAAATATTCGATTTGGATTGGTCAAGAAAAAAAAGTTCCAAAGATGAGAAATATTTTTTTAGAGTTTCAATATTTTAATATTATTAATCAAATAATTGAATATTGTAATAAAATAAGTCATATTCTCTGATCAGACGATAAAAATTTTCCTCTATAAATCGCACTAAAATGACGTCACTCACCTGACATTCTTGAAAAATAATTGCGTGATCTCAAACGATTTTAACAGAAATTTTTTCACATTATCAGAGAATTGTTTGAAAATTCAAGAAATTGTACTGGTTTAAAAGATGTTTTTAAAATATTCTCAAATTGAGTTGCTTACCTACAAAAGATGGTCCGAATTTTTTTATTTATTTATTTATTTATTTATTTATTTATTTATTTATTTTGCTACGGAACCCTAAATTATCAATCTTCTTTCAGCGGAACCCCAAATATTTGAAATGTTTAATTTGAAGATTGATGACTTTTAATCATTTTATCATTAATAATCTGAAATTGTGCTTTATGTCTGACAGTTAAATTTGAATTTTTAGTGCACATGAGCTGCTGCAACAAGTATATAGAACTCATTAAATATGTTCAAATATAGAGAAAACAAGGAAAATAATAATGATTAATGAAAAAAGAAGAAAACTCATTAAAATAAAATATTTTTAAAAATATTTAAAAGAACTTTTATTTATTTATTTAAAAAGAATATTCATTTTCGTCAGTTTTCTTTTTCTCTTTTCATCAATCTTTACTATTTTCCATGTGTTCTCTATATTTAAAAAGAAAAAGATAATTCCGAAATAAAAAAAGCCAAAAATGAAATTCTCAAACTATTCCCTGCTTCTTAGAGTCATTTTGCAGTATGAATAAATGTTCTTCTCATTAGGTTTTTCTAATTAACGTCACATTTGAATTCATTAGTTTAAATAAAGGTTAATTTCATTAAGAGTTCAGTGGTCTTACTGTAAGAATTACGGTTTGTTAGGACCTTCTTAGTGACGTCATTAGACACGATATCAGTAAACATTTTCCGCGCTATGTCTTTCTTGCTAATGTCAAAGTTGATTTTGTACGTAGATGTACAATATCAATAAAAGTTAATTTTAGGAGTTAATTTAGGCGACTGTCTGGGAAACTTCCCTTAGGATGGTCTGAAGACATGCCATCGCAGTTTTGTTCCTCTGCAGAGGGGAGGGCTCCCCTGTTTGGTAGCCCTGCTACCAGTGAGCGAAGTCGAGCACTTTACTGTAGAACAGTTCAACGAGAATCGATACCATGCACTCTCGACCCCTATGCTGGCCGCAGCCAGTGTTGGTTGGTTGGCTGAAAACCGTGTCTTTACGATCAATCCACTGCGGGACATGTTTCAATGGAAACCTTATAAGTAATTATTAGTAATCATATTTTTATTTCAATATAAGAAAAGCGTCAGAGACAGATTAGAAGAAGATTAACGCATAGAACAGCATAATGGTCAATAATAAATCTTGATAAATGCATGCATATGGTACCACAAATAAATATTATCATACACCACGAGCTTCCATGGTATTTTGCCCTTCTACCTAACACTTTAAAGGTAGCGGTTTCGAATGCCACCGTAACCTTTGACTTATCTTTAAAAAATGATATAATTTCTTGACTGCTTTCTTACTCTAATTTGTGCTATACATTCCTAAACTTGACAAGGGTTTATAATTACAATTATACGTGATAATGATTGCATGCAATCTTAATTACACGTAATAGAAAGCAATTGATTGAATGTAATCTTGAATACACCTAATAATGATTGCATGTAACTTCACTACACATAACAATGATTACGTGTTATCTTCATTACACGCAATAACGAATATATTACATAATAGAATACAAGTAACATATTATATTTTGTTCAACAATGCGCAACTCTTACGTCTATTTTAAAACTGGAATTCATGAGTTCAATCCTGAAGTCAAACTACAGACAAAGTTCAGTCTTGGTTGAACTTGAGCTCTGTGAAGTTAGAGCTTTGGCAGCTGACGCTCCGTTAAATTAAAAACGGCCTGAATCGTAAGCGGTAGAGCGGGTATCAGTTTACTTCTTCTATTTAGGTTCGATTTTTCTGCCTAAAATCGTTGTCAAAAAGCATAAAAATAAAAATGCTATCAAACGTTTTTTTTTTTTTTCCTTCTGTCGTTTGGCTATAACTGTATTTGATATCGTTGTAGGATTAAAATTAAAAAATTATAATTATAAAAATAAAAAGAAGAAATAGAATAAAAATTAAGGAAAAAAAATTGCCAACTCGGATAAATTAAAATTGATGAAAAAGTATTAAATAAAACAAACTTCAAAATCATTTACTACAATTAAATTCTTTGCAGAATTCAAAATAAATATTAAAAAAATTAAAAATTAAAAACATATTTCCAATGAATGCAATTTAAATCTTTACATGAAAAATAGGAGATTTGTTTTAACTAAGTTCCTCATTAAAAAGGTTCTAATTACAAAACACATATGAAGCATTAAATTATTTTTTTTCTTATATTCTCTCTTTTTTGTTTAAGTAAAATGTACTATCTGCGCTTTATTCCATAAAAAAACCGAAGAAAAAATTCACACGAAAATCCCTTATAATTAATAAAAATTCGAATTTTTTTTTTAACTGTTTCACGTAGTAAGATTATCGGGATTTGGGTGTAAATACGTGAGCTATGATATGTATTTGGAATTAAATAGAAAAAAAAATGCAGAAATCTCTTAATCTCATTAACAAACCATTTTCACGCTTGGCTTTTCCCCACTTATATACCCGGGTAAAATAAGGAGGGAGGGGTTGAGTTAAGGGGATGTATATACGAAACATTTATAATCTGAGTTAAGAAGATTATAAAATAAGAAACCCTCCCAACTCGTTTTTCCAATTGCACATTACGAACGCGTAGAAAAAAACTCCTTGTGTGCTTGTTAATAATCTATTAATTTAAATGAGCACTCTGTTAAGCTGTTGTTAATTATTTCCCTCGCAGCCTGCGAATCGGAAAATAAATCACGAAGAAGAATTAATTTATATTAATCAAATGAGTAATTTCGGGAACGGGAATCTTTTATTTTTATTCATTTTTTTATTCGCTATATTTCCTATTTTACTCTAATTTTGATAACATTCGAAGTAATGCAGTTCATTAACTCGAAATATAATTTTTCCGAACGAATTTTCAAAATAATGAAAATTATAAATTAAAGCACGAAGTATATTTCTTTTTTTTTTTTTTTTTTTTTNAAGTTTTTTTTTTTTGTTAATTATTGTAAACTTTTCGAGCCAGGGAAAATTATTTCTTTTTGATTAATAAACTTAATTAATTTGTTTAAAGAAAAAAACAAATTAAGAAAAGATTCTTCTCTGACAGTCGATTTTTAATGTTGTTTTTTTTTCTCCACTTTTGACTGAAATATTTCACACTTCGTTAAGCAAATTTAAATAATAACTTTCAAACAAAATATTTTTTTGTCGGAATTAACAGTTTAAAATATTTAATGACAGCTACGAAATTATTGCATGTTCTGTTTTCTATGCATTTTTTTACAAATAGTAAAGTACAGCCAATTTAATTTTACCAAATAAAAGGAAAAAAAATTTAGTGAACTTAAAAGTATAATTATTTAATATTAAAATCTGCATTCATGAATGTTATTTCTAAAACCATCAAAACTTACATAAAAAGTACATGATGAAGTTATTAGGATAACTTACATAAATAAAAGTATATGCGCAGTTATTAACATTCATGAATGTTATTCCTACAATCATCAAAACTTACATAAAAAGTACATGATAAAGTTATCACGATAACTTACATAAAGGTATATGCGCAGTTATTTAAATAGTAAACATTATGTAAAATGTATTATTAGAAAATTAAATTAAACGATTTCTTTTGGAGTTAATTTTTTTAAACTTTTACAAAGAAGATCGCAGTGCTATTATTATATTTCTCTTTCAGAAAGCCTTTCAAGATTTTTTTTTTGTTCGAAATCGAAATTAACTGTATAAAAAGAAAACTATTAAAAAAATATACATCTTGAGGATTTTAAAAACAAAACACTTCGCAATTTTAAAATATTTGAATTCGTAGTGAGAAAACAATTAAGGAAGCGAGATTTTTTTTTCTCAATTTTTCTTGACTGTTTAAGGTGATAATTTGCTTACATTAAATCGTCAACCGATTTTTTCTTTCTTTTGTTGAAAGTTTACATATCTTGCCTATTTAAAAATAATAATCTCAAACTCAATAATAATCTCAAACTTTTTCTTTTAAAAAAACATTTTATCGAAGAAAAAAAAGTTCTTAGTGGAACTACGTCATCGCCTACCAGGAGAAACATCAATGTTGTATTTGGCTCAAGTGTTTAATTAGTATTGGTTGAACGCCAAAGCAGACACCGTAGCTAATCACAAAGGAGGAAAAAAGTGATGGTGATTGTTTGGTGGTTGAAGAACTTCAGAAACCCCTTTAACGTTCCACTGAAGTTACCCCAGGGATTAACTAGCATTATTTCGGGATTAACCCTAAAGATAATCTCATGACAATAGTGGCGCATGCTTCATCAGCAATAATACCACAATTTTGGTCATAGTTATCTCGCTCATAACTACGTTCCCCAACTGCCGGACAATACCCGGATTTTTCCGGCTCTGAAACCGTAGGGTACTTGACATATGGATTCCAGAAATGGAATCAATTCTTCAGAATCAGAAATGGAATCAAATGGAATTGATTCCAGAAATGGATTAATTCTTGGAATCCAGAATGGATTCCAAGAAATGATCAGGGCATTGAAATCCCAGTCCTTAGCTCGAGAATCGAACCATGGCCTCGGACTTTATGGCATATAGAGATAAATGTTTTAACAGACTTTTTTTTTTTCG